GGCCCGAGCTTGCGAGTGGTGTCGTCGAATTCCTGCTGCTGCTCCACATCCACAGCGTCGGAGAAGTCGGAGTCCTCACCAGCATCGTCCCCGGCCGCGCATTCCTCCAGCGGGCAGCCAACTCTCAAGCTGGGACGAGGAGACGGCCCAACCAGCGAGTGTGACCGGCTACAAATGACCAGCGTGTCGGCGACGTAGTGGAGCTCCGGCTGGCCCCAATCCGCAGCCTCGCCCTCCTTGACGGATGGAAGTTGCCCAAAAACGTCCGAGAAGTCGAATTCCCCGGCGTCGTCGGCAGCAACAACAGCGTCGAGGCGCGGAGGGCGCGAAGGAAGAGGGATTGACACTGCTGCCGTGGTGGCCGTGGGCGCCATTTTATTCCCTCCCCTTCTCTCCTAGCGATCTAGCCTCCAATCTATCTAGCAGCAAGAGGCGCGCCCGAGGGCGGCCTTAGATCGACATCACTTACATCGGGCTAGCGTGTGGATCGCTCGCTCCTAGCTCTCGTCCACAAACCCTAAGTTACTAAGTTTTTATCCGTGCCAACACGCCTACACTTTCCAGCGCGGCAACGACGATTCATCCTACGGCGGAGAACAGCCCACGCGATGATCAAACCTTTTAACATTCCGTGTGATGTGCTAGAACAACAACAAAGCAAAATAGGCAAAATAGGTAGAACTGGAAACATTGCTTGATGATGATCCTCAAACGTGGCTCGCCACTGGAGGATTGGTGCTGCTGGTAGATCCAAGGAAGGAGAGGAATCCAGCGCCGCCCTCTTGCTCGTCCAGGAAGAGATCGTCCGGAACTCTAAAAGCCCCATGAAGGCTCACCGCGACCGCGCCAATCGTGAGCGCCGACAGTAGCAGCGATCCCACGTCCGAGAGGAGGAACACCACCACGACCGAGACGATCCCCATGAGGATCATCACCTCGCGCTCGCTGAAGCTCCGATTGAATAGGACGACGGGCTCGGTGCGGACGAGATAGAGGTAATACCACATGAATGCCAGCACCCCGAGCGTGAGGAGCGAGAGAGGATGATAGACCAGGCTCGCCGCGATGCAGCCCAGCACGACCAAGATGTAATTGATCTTGAAGTAGCCGATGTTCTTGCGGATCCGGCCCAGGGCGTCGGAGAGGGACTCGGGCTTGGCCAGCGAGTTGCGATCTACGAGCTCCTTCCACGGCCTGCGCTGCGCAACCGCCATCTTCATACCATCGGAGAGACGGGAGAGGAAAGCCCGAGCCGCTGGCGTCGGCGCCAAGCTCTGCTGCTGCGTTGCCACACTGCTCGCCATCATCGCCTCCTCCTGGATCTGGCAGATCTACACCTTGCCCCAAATAACCCTAGCTTTCGAAGACGCGTTTATTTCCGTTATTAGGGTTCTTGGTGCCTGGTCATTTCAAAAGCGTGGACTGCGCGGGGGAGGGATAGGGCTGCGATTCAGCCGCATTGTCATGGCGCCGTGCGTGCCTGAGCTGATGTTGTGTGGACGCTCGCGTTGCCCTAGCGTCCTCGGCAGTAGTGTGTAGGGCGCGCAGCAATGGCGGCAGATGCCGCGGCCCCGATGGGAGGCCTGTTTCTAAATCCCGAGCATCGATCGTCAAAGGTATGGAAGGATAATGTCAGCACCGATGCTCACGGCACGCCGTTTGCGAGGAAATCAGTGGCGGTGGAGGACAATGAGGACGCGGAAGCGCTCATGTGGGCAGCGCTGGAGGAGTTCCCAGCCTACGAGCGCCTCCGCATGGTTTTTTTGAACGAGGAGGAGAAGGTCCCGGTGGATGTGAGGTACCTGAGCAGGGGTGAGAGGCAGCGGGTGTTGGAGAGCGCGTTTGCCACCACCGATCAAGACAATCTCCACCTCTTGCAGCGGCTCAAGGAGCGCCTCCAGAGGTCGGTGTCATCGATCGATTCTTGGCTGCTGGCTTTCATCTCGGCAGAGGAGGAGGAGCTCACTGTAGAACTACTGACTTGACAGGGTCCGCATTGCGCTTCCCACGGTGGAGGTTCGCTTCGAGCATCTCCGGATCAGTGCTGATGTTCACGTTGGATCGAGAGCTTTACCAAGCCTCACAAACTTCGTGAGGAATTTTGTGGAGGTAACTGGCTTACTGTATCGATTGAGATCAAACACCACTCTCTTTTTTTCTTCTCAGGACATGCTAGTTTCCATGAAGATCATGTCATCGGACAAGAAGGATTTTAAGATTCTCAAGGACGTGAGTGGGGTCATCAAACCCGGAAGGTGAGCTGCTTCATTTACCTCCATTTCTCTTATCTTGGTGCTGGATTCCTTCCTTGCAGAATGACTCTTTTGCTGGGACCGCCTGGAGCCGGAAAGTCGACGTTGCTGGTGGCACTCGCTGGAAAACTTGAAGCGGATCTGAGGGTGTGTCCTGGTTTGCTTTCTTTTGCGGTAAACTGTCTTTTCTGCCCGCAGGCAACCGGTACAATAACTTACAACGGCCATGGCTTCAACGAGTTTGAGCCCCTGGGAACTTCTGCGTATATTGGTCAAGAGGACAACCATATTGGAGAGATGACTGTCCGAGAGACACTGGATTTTTCTGCTCGCTGCCAAGGTGTTGGCTACAAAAACGGTGCGTAGTAGCAAAAACTTTGGCGCTAGATTCTTACTCCTTGGATCTTTTCCAGAGATGCTAACTGAGCTAGTCGGCAGAGAGAAGGAGCGACACATTCACCCGGATCCTGAAATCGATGCCTTTATGAAGGTCCGGCCGTTTAGATTTCAAGGACTAGTCTTTCCACTAAACTTTATGGTTACAGGCAATGGCTGTTAAAGGGAAAAAACACAGTATGGCTACAGACTACATGATGAAGGTGCTTGGCTTAGAAGTTTGTGCCGACACTTTGGTGGGGAATGAAATGCTTCGTGGCGTCTCAGGAGGGCAGAAGAAACGCGTGACTACAGGTTACAACACCTCCGCCTGCCTTATAGTCAAATGCCTCAACCAAGCACAACAGAACTCAGCAACTTAAGAACGTCTTCCTCACAGGTGAAATGGTTGTGGGGCCGAAAAAGACGCTTTTTATGGACGAAATCTCGACCGGGCTCGATAGTTCCACCACGTTTCAAATCGTCAAGTGCGTCAGAAATTTTGTTCATTTGCTCGAAGGGACAGTTCTGATGGCGCTTCTTCAACCTCCTCCAGAAACGTATGACCTTTTTGACGACGTGTTGCTACTAGCTGAAGGATACGTAGTTTATCTCGGTCCGAGAGAGAGCATACTACACTTTTTCGAATTGATGGGTTTTAAGTTGCCACCTCGGAAAGGAGTTGCTGATTTTCTTCAAGAGGTATTGAGTTGCTTTTGGTTCCCTGTTCTTTTCTTCTAACAGTTTTTCCTTTCAGGTAACCTCGAAGAAGGATCAGAAGCAATACTGGGCAGACAAGAGCAGGCCATACCAGTACATTCCAGTCGCGGTGTTTGCCGAGGCATTCCAAGATTATCAAGCTGGTAAAGACCTTAGCGCGCACCTTGCCACCCCTTATAACAAAGCAGGCAGCCATCCTGCGGCTCTGTCGAAACGAAAGTATGCAATGTCAAGCTGGGAATTGTTCAAGGCATGCACCCAACGAGAAATCCTCTTGATTTCACGTCACAGATTTCTCTACATTTTTAAAACTACTCAGGTAAGAGTTCAATTTCTCTGCTCCTCGTGATCTTCTTATTGTTTTCCTTTGTTTCAGGTAGCCATAATGGCAATAATTACGGGAACGTTGTTCCTTCGAACGACAATAGAGCCGACTAATGAAATCTACGGGAATATGTACCTCGGCTGCTTGTTTTTTGCGCTTATTCACATGATGTTTAATGGCTTCTCCGAGATGGCCATCACGGTTCATAGGCTTCCTGTCTTCTACAAGCAGAGAGATAATCGCTTCTATCCTGCTTGGGCGTTTTCGTTGCCGAGCTGGTTTCTAAGAATCCCTTACTCGGTGGTGGAAGCGGTTATATGGTCCTGTATTATATACTATTGCGTAGGCTTCACACCAGAGGCTGACAGGTATTGGCACAACTTTTCTGTGTTACTTAAGCTGAAAGTTGATGTTTTGTCCCCAGGTTCTTCCGATACATGTTTCTATTAATGCTGATGCATCAAATGGCATTGGCAATCTTTAGACTGATTGGAGCTCTTGCTAGAGATATGGTGGTAGCAAATACCTTCGGTTCATTCGCTCTTCTTATTGTATTTTTGTTGGGTGGTTTTATTATAGCTAGAAGTAAGTTTTGGCCTTTCTTTGTTATTTTATTTCGCTGCGCTGGCTAACTGTGTGCTATCACAGATGACATACATCCTTGGTGGATATGGGGGTACTGGCTTTCGCCTCTCTCTTATTCACAGAATGCCATAGCTGTGAATGAATTTCTCGCTCCTCGATGGAACCAGGTTTAATTTCGTTGAAGGTGAGAGTATTCTAATTACTCGAGCACTCTTGTTTTGCAGAATGTTGCCACTGGATATAGAAAGCTTTATATCAACATAATGAAGCCAAGAGGATTGTTTTTGGAAAGTTGGTGGTACTGGGTGGGAGTGGGCGTGCTGACCGGGTATATGCTCTTGTTCAACCTGGTTGTGATCCTTGCGTTTGCGTATCTAGATCGTAAGCATTCTCATTCTCGGTTTGGTGTGCTAAGTTAATTGATCTGGCGATTGTAACAGCGCTGGGGAAACCACAGGCTGTCATCCCAGAGGATCCTGTTGAGCCACCGTCAGTTGAAGCTGCTGTTCCAGGTAGGGATCGATACTTTCTCTTGCCATTATATCATCTCAGGTTTATTACTCGTAGGTTTATTACAGAAACAGCAACAAAGAGAACGTTTCGATCCGATGGGACTCCGGAAATGACTCTGGATGTGGCTGCACTGGAAAAAAGAGATTCAGGCAAGAAGAAAGGAATGATCTTGCCATTTCAGCCTTTGTCCTTGACGTTTTTGAAGATGTGCTACTACGTCGATATGCCTGCTGTAAGTACGTGTTTTTTTTATCTTTTGCTCTCTGTTGAGCACTATCGTTTGTGGCTATCAGGAAATGAGAAGCCAGGGCCTGACTGACGCTCGACTACAGCTTCTTCGTAATGTGAGCGGTGCATTCAGGCCTGGTGTCTTGACTGCTCTTGTCGGTGTAAGCGGTGCGGGCAAGACGACGCTGATGGATGTTCTTGCTGGGAGAAAGACGGGTGGATATATAGAAGGTGATATACGAGTATCTGGCTACTCCAAAGTTCAGAAGACTTTCGCTCGTATTTCTGGATACGTGGAGCAGACGGACATTCACTCCCCTCAAGTGACCGTTTACGAGTCTTTACTGTATTCCTCGTGGCTACGGCTTCCACGAGAAGTGAACAAAACTACCAGATATGTAAGAGGGATTTTGTTTTTCGCATGGTTTTGTCTCATGTTGTTTTGGTTGCAGGCGTTTGTGGAGGAAATAATGTCCCTGGTGGAGCTGGATACGCTAAGAAATGCTCTGGTGGGCCTTCCAGGGAGCACCGGTCTCTCTACTGAGCAACGGAAAAGGCTGACCATTGCTGTGGAACTCGTGGCCAATCCTTCAATAATCTTTATGGATGAGCCCACATCCGGACTGGATGCTCGTGCTGCCGCGATAGTGATGAGGACAGTCAGAAATACTGTTGATACAGGGCGTACTGTAGTTTGCACGATTCATCAGCCAAGTATAGACATCTTTGAGGCTTTCGACGAGCTCTTGCTGATGAAAAGAGGTGGTCGTGTCATCTACATGGGACCGCTCGGGGAGAACTCTCAAACGATGATTGATTATTTCATGGTATGCCTTTCATGGGCTTGTCAGAGGCTAACGCTTGCATAAAATCCACAGACCGTTGAAGGCGTTCCAATTATTAAAGACGGATATAATCCTGCAACATGGATGCTTGAAGTAACTAGTCCTGCGGCAGAGGCGCGGCTGAAAAAGGACTTTGCTGACATTTACTCTGTTTCGGATTTACACAGGTACATCAGTCTTGCTTTCTGATAAAATATGCATCATTTCTCTGCAGGGAAATAGAAGAGCTTATCGAGGAACTGAGTGTGCCACCACCTAGTTCCAGAGATCTCTCTTTTCCAACGGAGTATTCTCAGGATTCAATGACACAGTTTAAAGCATGCTTGTGGAAGCAAAACTTGACGTACTGGCGCAGCCCAAATTACAACGCTGTTCGATTTTTCTTTACTCTGATTTGTGCTTTGATTTTTGGCTCTGTTTTCTGGGACATAGGAAGCAAAAGGTACAGTCTTTGATTACAAGTCAACAAAGTTTTTCTAAAACATGTTGTTTTGCTCCCAGGGGTAGCCAACAAGATCTGTTTAACGTCATGGGAGCTCTCTATGCAGCGGTGTTGTTTCTTGGGATCAATAACGCTTCAAGCGTACAACCGATTGTCTCCGTTGAGCGCACGGTCTTTTATCGCGAAAGAGCGGCTGGAATGTACTCGCCTTTGCCGTATGCCTTCGCACAAGTAAGCACAAGTAATTTCTATCTTTTGCGCTGAAGCTCGAGTGCTTCACAGGGTGCCATCGAGATCCCGTACCTTGTACTGCAAACTATCATATACGGGCTCGTCACTTACTCAATGATCCATTTTGAGTGGACTGCCGGTACTGCTAGTGAGTATAAACTGGTGGCCTTGGAATAATGATGCGCTGTTTTTTGCAGCCAAATTCTTTTGGTATTTGCTCTTCATGTTTCTAACTTTCACGTACTTCACGGTTTACGGGATGATGGCCATTGGCCTGACGCCGTCGCAGCAACTAGCAGCGGTCATCTCTTCTGCATTTTACTCCCTATGGAATCTTTTCTCCGGGTTTATCATACCACAGCCCGTGAGTATACATTTCGACAGTCCACGGGAACTAATGCTTCTTTTTTCTACTCTGGCAGCTTATCCCTGGCTGGTGGGTCTGGTTCTACTGGATCAGTCCAATTGCCTGGACTCTATATGGCCTGATCGGCTCGCAGTTAGGAGACGTCAAGGAACGTATGACTGCACAAGGCTATGGTACGATTCAGGTGGACGTGTTTTTGCGGCACTACTTTGGCTTCAGGCACGATTGGCTTGGATACTGCGTTGCTGTCCTTATTGCCTACATCGTGGTTTTCTGGTTTGGGTTTGCGTATTCCATCAAGTACATCAATTTCCAAAAGCGCTGACCTTGGTGTGTTTTAATACTTAGGTACCTAGTGTTCTGTGGGATCCGGGGAGGGAGGGGGGGACATTTGGCAACGTTTGGCCTAAAAGGGCCGCTGTACAGCTCAGTTTGTTGTAAAGCAAAGCAATATTCATCTCTGGGGCTGCCACTGGTGTAAGTAGAAAGTAAGATGCAAACCATAGTGTGGTCTTGTTCAGGAGGGCTGTTGAAGACGAAGAATGAGGTGCTGGAAACGAGCACGAACCAGTCCATGTTCGTGTTTGGCCTTGGTTACACAGGGGTTGAACTTGGAAAGCAACTTCGTACCAAGGGATGGTTAGTGTTCCTGTTTGTTTCAAAGTTTTGTTTTTTACCAATACTCGTAAGACTAGCAGGAAGGTTTCTGGGACTTGCCGCAGCGCGGAAAAGAGGAGGACGCTGGAAGAATGTTACGGAGTGGATGCTTACATTTTCGGCCCTGGTGTCAGTCTCGAGTAAGAACCATGTCATTTTCTTTGCTTCGGCCGCCTGAACTGAACTTCGGTGTCGTTCCCCAGCAACGGTGGCTTGGAGGCATTATACCAAGCAACTCATCTCGTCAGCTGTGTGCCTCCGGACCCGGATACACTGACAGACATGGTACGTTCTGGGGATTGATGCATTTGAGTATGTCGTTGCTCGCAGGTCTTGAAAATGCACTTGGAGGACATAGAAGCTAGGTGTCGTGCACTTCGCTGGATTGGATACATATCTTCCACTGGTATATTGGTTTTGTGATTGTAAACTTTGTGATTGACTGACTTACGTTTTGGAGGAGTATATGGCGATCACCGAGGCGGCTGGGTGGACGAAAGGTGAGTATTTTCTAAAAGCAAGCTTCTGTTTTATAACTAAACCAACAAAGCAATTGCAGCACGCAGGCGAAGCCAGTGGATAGAAAGTCAAAAGCGAGGGTTGCCGCCGAGAACTCGTGGCTAGAGCTTCAGCACAGTAATGCGTCAGTGCAAATTTTCCGAGCTGGTGGAATCTACGGTCCTGGTCGGAGGTAATCCCATATTGTTCTATCTGAGTTAGTGGTTTTGTTTGTTTCCTTTCCAGCGTCCTGGATACTTTACAAGGCGCTAGGCAACGAAGAGTGAGTGAAGCGAGGCATTCCCGTCGCTTCACCTCGAGAATCCACGTCTCGGACGTGTGCCAGGTCCTGATGGCGAGCATGGAGTCACCACATTCCGGGTACCTCAAAACCGGTTGTCGATCCAGCTCTAACTTGGTAGCAAACGCAGGAGAATCTACAACGTCGTCGACGACGATCCGGCCCCGAGATCTGAGGTTGCGGCCTTTGGAATGGAGCTCCTGGGGATGGAACTTAAGGAAGAATCGCCAGGAAATGGTGATGGAGGAAGCGCGGCGGCGGAGAAGCGCGTGATGAACAAGAGGATCAAGGAAGAACTGGGAGTGGAGCTCATGTTTCCGTCGTACAGGGAGGGTCTGGCTGCCGTGGTACGGGCGGACAGCTAAGCCAGCCAGCCGGCAACGCACTGCCACGCGTACAGTTAAGGACCATCCAGTTTAAGTTAGCACTAATTAATTCCCCCTTTTTCTTTGGTATTGAGATTTCCTCTCTCGCGTTTCGCCGGTGCCGTGGAGGGCGGCGGGGATGGCGCCACTGTGATCTCCAACGCTCGGTCGCGCGATCCAGCAGCTCCGGCACAGGATTCTAGCGCCGTGCATTGTGATGCGCGGCGGATCTACGAGTTTGTAGCGCATGCACGATCGTCAGGTGTGGCATCGGGGAATCGGCCCTGGCGAGGTTCCATGGATGCTTTTCCAGTGTCGAGGATCAGCTCCGCGAGCACGGCATCGACGTCGTCGTATCGCTTCTTCCATGGATCGGCGGAGCTGAGGTATTTGTTTCCAAGGTCGAGGATCGCGGCGAGGAGTAGCCTCCAGGAGGCAACCAAGGCGGATGAATTGGCGATCAACGGGACGCGCCTGGAATCCTCCAAGCTGAACGGAAATCCCGGCCAGGAGTTGCAAAAGGGCGGCGCTTCCTCGCTCAACACGGTGCTGGCAGCCATAGCAGCGCTCCTGGTGGCATCGCCCCGGCCTTACAGTCTGGCGCTGGAATCTCAAAGGCAGGGCAGGCTCGTGGAAGGGAGGCTCGTCTATCGCCAGACCTTCGTCATTCGATCGTATGAAGTCGGGGTGGACAAGACGGCCTCCATAGAAACACTCATGAACCATTTCCAGGTGAGTGAGCTCTCTCAGTGCTCCTCTTCGTAAGCTCTGGACAAGTGATCACAGAGTTTCTAGTGATGGTTTTCCAGGAGGTTGCGTTAAACCACGTCTGGATGTCCGGGCTTGCTGGAGATGGATTTGGAGCAACGCATGCAATGATCCGGCACCGATTGATATGGGTGGTGTCGAGAGTGCATGTCCAAGTAGAGCGCTACGCTTCATGGTATGCTCACTTTCTTCTTTTGTTCCAGACTTTGTGACGATCTTTGTGGATCTTTGTAGGGGCGATGCGATTGAGATCGATACTTGGGTGGACGCGTCGGGTAAAAATGGCATGCGCAGGGACTGGCTCATGCGAGACTACAAGTCGGGCCAGATTTTGGCCAGAGCAACAAGGTGTGCTGTGAGATTTGGTTGTGATGGAAGCATTCATGAGCTTGTTCTTGCAGCACCTGGGTGGTGATGAATCAGACGACGAGGAGGCTTTCTAAGATGCCCGACGACGTCCGGGAGGAAATAACTCCATTCTATCTCCAAAGACGCGCCATTGTCAGAAACGTCTCGCACAAAATCACCAAGGTCGATGGCGCTACACAGTTTGCCCGCTCGGGTTTGACAGTGAGTATCCATCTCACTTTCCTTTCTCTTTCCTGCGCTTTTTTTAAAGTATCATCTTTGCATTTGCAGCCAAGGCATGGAGATTTGGACATGAACCAGCACGTGAACAACGTAAAATACATCGGATGGATGCTCGAGGTGAGATATATAACATTTTAAAGTTGAAGCCGCGGTCTCTCTAACTCGCTCGGGTTGTGTAGAGCGTGCCTCTCTCTATTGTTCAAGACCACGAAGTATCGAGCTTAACTTTGGAGTACCGGCGAGAATGCGGCCAGAATGACGTTGTAGAGTCGATGACCTGGGTACAACACGCAGATTGCTTGATCGCGGACGACAATTTGGAAACGAAGACAGCGAACTTTGGCGGAAGTGGCGAGGAGACTGTGGAGCAGCCGCCGTGCCTGCTTCACCTCTTGCGATTGCAGAGTGACGGCTCAGAACTCGTAAGAGGGAAGACCGTGTGGCGGAGGAAGAAAAATCGAGAAGCCTGATGCGTTTGTTCTTCTTTCACGTAGCCAAAATAAAAAAGAGAGATTTTTGGTTCTATCTCCGACTCTCTTCTCTCCTTTGGAGATCGAGGAAGATGTCCTCCATATCTGGTGAAGCTTCGAGTTTCTTGAGAGCGAGCTGCCCGCAAGCTCCATCGATGTCCTGTCCCATTTCCTGGCGGACGGTCGTGCGGATCCCAAACTCTTCTCGGACGATCTTCTGGAAGTGGTGCACGCGATCCGCCGGAGTCGCCCTGTAGTCGCCAACCACAAAAGTGTGGTTGTAAGGGATGAGATTGAGCACCTGCAATGAAATCTCAATCTCTGGGACGAGAAACCAACCTGGAGAACTTACGACTTTACGGTCTCGCAGCAGGCACCCGAGCTGACGAGCGTCTTGAGAGGAATCGTTGACATCTTGCAACATCACGTACTCGATGAAGAGCGTGCGATTGCTGGACGGGAGAGAGTGAGTACTCACACAACTGGAGCTTCGAGCTGGAGCTCACCTTGATGCTTGATACGCATCCACGGCGGCCATGAGCTTGTCAAGCGTGAAGGCCCGGGAGGCTGGTACGATCTGGCAGCGCAGTGCTTGAGTGGGAGCGTGGAGTGAGAGCGCCAGGTTGACGCCAGGGAGATCGCCTGCTACCGAGAGTATCCGAGGCACAATTCCCACCTGGAAGGAAAAGATGGAGGCGCTGAAACAAGAGTTTTGTTTGAGACTTCTTACAGTGGAGATGGTGATACGACTTGGCGACAGGCCAAAGCAGCGTCCAGTGAGTGTTTGTACGGCTTGCACCACCGAGTTATAGTTGTTAAGAGGCTCTCCCATCCCCTGCTCAATGAAGAAACAGTGCGTGAGATCTGATAGGACTCCATGGAGGAAACGCACCATGAAAACAATGTTCCTGATGGGGCTCATCCTTGATGCGTGAACATACTGCTCCACAATCTCTCCCGCGGTCAGGTTGGCCACGAAGCCCATCGTCCCAGTCGCGCAGAAGCTACAGCCCATCTTGCAGCCCACCTAGAAGTTGAAGAACTTCGAGTAGAATCACTCAAAAAAACCAAAGGCGAGATCGAGTCACTCACTTGAGACGAGACGCAGAGCGTCGCACGATCGGATCCAGGTCTCGGGCCCCCGGCGTACTTCCCAGCTCCACCGTGATGCCGCATGATCACTGTCTCCACAGATTGGCCACTCTGTTCTAAGCACACGAGAACAAGCCTGAGATAGAAGGAAGCAACAACATAAAAAAACTTTACTTGGAGCTGGAGGAGGAGCTTGGTGGTAGTGCCGTTCGCGGAGGTGGAGTGAGCGGCCAATGTGGACGTGAGCGCCTTAAATCGAGTACGCAGCAGTGGATAGAGCGCGCCAGGCAGCCCCGGTACCTGGTGCAACGCCGCGTTTGGGTGATCCATGACATGCCTGGGCACGAACGAGACGATTGAGCGATCGATCCATCCATTCGCGATGGAGAATGTTACCTCCAGATGGTGTAGACGTGTAGCGGCTTGATGCCATGGCGCTGGAGCTCCGCCTTGAGAATCCCCTCGTCGAAAATGGAGCTGAGAGACATTGTCCCCTGTTTCTTGGATAAACCCTAATTAGGGTTTGTGGTGGGAGTGACAATGCCGATCCAACAGGGTACGCCCAGGATGCGATCTGCCTCGTTTCGAGATCGCGAGCACGAGGAGGAGGATGCTGGCGGCGCCGAGGTGGATGCATTGGCCGAGATGGCCCGGGATCCGGTGCTGTGCAGGTTTGTGTCGGAGGATTTCAACGCGACGCAGTTCGCGAGCGATGCGCTGCGCAGTGGCTCGGCCGCGGCGTCGGCCGAGAAGGTGGAGCAGGGCATGGCGCTGCTGGAGAAGCAGCTGAGGCGGGAGGTCGTGCTGCGCCACAGTGAGCTCGTCCAGCAGCTGAGCAGCGTCAAGGACATGGAGGGCGCGCTGGGCGTGGTGAAGATCGGGGTTGGGAGCCTAGAGAATTCCGTGCGCCGGGTGAGATCCGAGGTAGCGGAGCCATACAAGAGCATTCGATCCAAGTCCACGCAGCTCTCTTGCCTCCACACCACCGTGGAGCTCTTGCGCGCCGTGGTGCGCGTGCTCAAGCAGCTCAAGCGCCTCCGCGAGCTCGTCGTCGATTCCTCCAAGCCAACCGATCTCTCCAAGGCCGCGCAGCTGTGGAGCGAGATCGAGGGGCTCCGCAGTGACGCTGATCTCTCCGGGATCGAGGTGGTGGACTCGGAGCTGGCCTGGCTCAAGGAGGCTGGCACCAAGATCCGGAGCGAGGCCATGCGGAGCCTGGAAGCTGGCATGAAAGCTTTCAACCAAGCTCAAGTTGGTGCCGCGCTCCAAGTCTACTTCAACCTCGGGGAGCTCCGGCCGACAGTGGAGAGCGTGATCCAGAAGTATAAGAGCCAGGCGGTCAAGAGCATTGCGAGTGCTCTCGACATGAAGGCCATCTCCGCGAGCGTGGCGGCGGCGGCCACAGGCCCAGCGGGGCCAGGGGGAGCTCACAGGAGTGGGACGCCGCAGCTGGGAGCTGGATCCAGGGCCAGGGATGGGTTGTGGCAGAGACTTGGGCAATGCATGGAGCAGCTTCACTCCATCTTGGTGGCGGTGTGGCACTTGGAGCGAGTCATGATCAAGAAGAGGGATCCGGTTTCTCACGCCAGCTTCATCGATGAAGTTGTCCAGGTAGAGGAAAGCTTTGCTTGCTGGCAAGGTTCTTCTTAGTTTTTGTGACTGAACACGAATGTGTGGCTTTGCAGGCTGGAGATGCCTCGCTGACCGAGAGGGTGTGGGAGGCTATTGTCAAGGCATTTGCCAGCCAGATGAAGTCGGCGTTCACTTCATCGAGCTTTGTCAAGGAGATCTTCGTGCTGGGATATCCCAAGCTGCTCGGGGTGGCGGACAACTTTCTCCAGAGGCTTGTCCGCGACACGGAAGTTAAAGGTGCGTCCCCGGCGATCAAGGACGCGGACAGACAGCAGCTTGTGACGACGCTGGAACCGTTCCAGAATGCGTACCTTGGCCAGACACTTGCACGACTCACGGACCTTGTCAACAACATGTTTGCTTCGTCCACTCTCCTTCGCCTTCCGACTTCAGAGGAGCCGATTGCGAAGCTGGTGGCACGGATCCAGGAGGAGGTTGAGGCTGCAAAGCTGGATGCCAGGTTGACGCTCATGGTGCTTAAAGAAGTTGGGAAGTCTGTGCAACTCTTCGCTGAAAAAGCCGAGTACCAGGTGAGCTTGTTCTTCCGCCTTTCCTTGTCTTAGGCTCACTTGGGCTGTTCTATCAGCTTGCAACAGGTCCTGATGCTCGTCAGGTGACCGGTCCAGCCACGCCATCGCAGCTCAAGAACTTTGCGCTGTGCCATCACTTGCAAGACATCCATCACAGATTGAGCTCAATGATGACAGGCCTATCGCCATCCGCCGCTGACATCCTCTCTCCGTCGCTCGGGGCTGTCTACGGCGTGGCAGTGGACACGGTGAATCCGCTGTTCAAGGCGATGGCGGAGAGACTGGAGAAGAGTATCCTAGAGATGCAAGGCCTGGACTTCAACTCGGATATGACAGTGGACGACGAGAGGCCCAAGTACATGCAGGAGATCCAAGAGGCCGCGACTCACTTCAGGTCCGAGTTCCTGTCCAAGCTCTTGACAGGCTCTAGCTCCGGGAATCCCAAGTCGGTGTCGATCAACTTCGTGAGGAAGATGGCTTCCAGGGTGCTCGTCCTGTTCGTGAGACACGCTGCCCTGGTGAGACCGCTATCGGAGGCTGGGAAGCTGAGCATGGCGAGAGACATGGCAGAGCTGGAGCTCCTTGTGGCACAGAACCTCTTTCCCGTGGAGCAACTTGGTGCTCCATACCGAGCGCTGCGGGCATTCAGGCCTTTCATCTTCCTGGAGACGAACCAGATCGCGAGCAGCCCACTGCTGCAGGAGCTGCCGGCGAGTGTGGTGTTTCACCATCTCTACAGCCGGGCGCCGGACGAGCTCGAGTCCCCGATGAAGAGATCCAAGCTCTCGGCGTCGCAGTACTCGCTGTGGCTGGACACGCACAGCGAACAAGACGTGTGGAAAGAAGTGAAGGGAACGCTGGACGATTACGCGGCCAAGGTGAGAGCTCGCGGCGACAAGCAATTCACTCCCATTTATCCTCTCATGCTCCAGCTCGGCTCGTCGCTCCTGTGAGCGAGAGGAGAGAGAGAGCCGATTTTCAAGAGGAGGAGAATATACTTTGATCAACGGCCTCGATTAAAACTCCATTGAGGATTTGAGTTTTAGGGTTTAGGGTTAGGGCAGGCCGTCTTGCATTCTTGGGGAGGAGCGAGGGAGGAGCGCCATGAAGACGATCCTGTCCTCGCAGACGATGGACATCCCCGAGGGGGTGAAGGTGGAGATCAGGGCGAAGCAGATCCGCGTGTCGGGGCCCCGCGGCGTTCTCCTCCGGAATTTCAAGCATCTCAACCTGGATTTCCAGATGCTGGAGAATGGGAGGAAGCTCAAGGTGGAGGCCTGGTTCGGATCGCGCAAGACCATCGCTGCCATCCGCACTGCCGTGAGCCACGTCAAGAATCTCATCACGGGAGTGACCAAGGGCTTCCAGTACAAGATGAGGTTCGTCTACGCTCATTTCCCCATCAACGCCAACATCTCGGCCACCAAGCAGAACATCGAGATCCGCAACTTTCTGGGCGAGAAGAGAGTGAGTGTTTTCTTCCAGATTTCTTCCTGCTGGGCTTGACACCACCACCACCATTGCTTGTGCTTGTTTTCCAGGTGAGAACCGTGGACATGCTCCCCGGCGTCACAGTGACCAGGACAGAGAAGGTCAAGGACGAGCTTGTTCTCGAGGGGAATGACATCGAGCTTGTCTCGAGATCCGCTGCTCTCATCAACCAGGTATGAGATGAGAGAAGAAGCAAATATCAGTTTTTCAGAGGTGATGTTTCTTCTTTTTTTTGCTGCCAGAAATGCCATGTGAAGAACAAGGACATCAGGAAGTTCTTGGATGGTATCTACGTGAGCGAGAAGGGGACGATCGCGGAGGAAGAGTAGCTTATGGTATGAGGACGTTTTTTCTCTTATGTTTCGTTTTTTTGGAAGCCAATCGAAGACTGATTGATTAAATATCTAGAAAACTTTCTTATAGATTCGTTCCAAGACTTGAGAAAAGATCTAACTACTCTTAAGAACCGAGGCCCCTTGGCCGGAGCTAGAGCAGCACTTTGTTGCTTGGCAGCTCCACCACCTGCTTGAAGTACTTGACCAGTATGGAGCCACTGCTGAAGATCAAGCCATTCTCTGACGTGTAGAACTCGATGCTCCTGTCCTTGCGAGCTTTCTGGAAGTTGACGGTGATGAGAACCTCGCTGGAGTTGCGCATGCTACTCGCGATCTCCGCGTCCGGCACTGCCATCACCAGGTACATCGGGTTCGAGCTCGAAGCCGTGAGGCCATTCTTCATGATCTCCTCCAGTTCCTGCTTGGATGTGCCGTAGACACAAACCGGGGACTTCTCGATCTTCTGGAACAGCTGCTCGGTCTCACCATTAGGTGCCACTGGTTCCTGGAGTGCTCCGATGTAAAGCGCTCCGGTTTCGTCCACCATCTTGGCCAACTTTTTAGTCAGCTTGTCCACCGCCTTGATCGCCTCGGCAGCAGTGTGGGAGCTGAGAGGTACACCTGACTTTGTCATGAAATCCAGCTCCAGCAGCTCCTCGAGCTTGCAAAAACCGTCGGGTCGCATCTCCAAGTTGGGATGAAGAACTGGCTGACGCAAAACCTTTAGCAGCGCGCGGCCGAGTGCTTTGATCCTCCCTCTTTCACTCGGTTGCTCATTCCTCCGCGTCTCTTTCTTCGCCACCTTTTCCATCTCTTCCACTGGCTCTTCCCGATTCTTTTCCATCTCTGGAATGAGCCAGCGGACCTTCTTTACCCTCTCTTCCACTGGCTCTTCCCGATCGCTCGCCTTCGTTTCCACTGGCTCGTCCTGATCATTCACTTTCGTTTCCATCTCTTCCACTTCATCCTGGTCACTCACCTTCGTTTCCATCTCTTCCACTTCATCCTGGTCACTCACCTTCGTTTCCATCGCTTCCACCAGATCACTTACCTTCGTTTCCATCGCTTCAACCGGATCCACCACATTCGTTTCCTCATCCGGATCCAGATCGACCACATTCTTGTCCTCTATTGGCGGATCATCAACTAGAACCGTCTCCACCGGCCGAACATTCTTCTCGAGCACCATCTCGAACATCCGCTTCCGATTACCCTTCTTCGCGACCGGGAAGTTCTCGAAAAACCTCGCACGGATGGCCGGCCTCACGTCCTCGACTTCGCGCTTGGCAAGACCCTCGAGAAACGGCATAAGATCCAGCAGCACCCGGTCCTTCCGCAGATCAGTCCGACTGAACGTTGGGATGATCACAACGTTGTCGGAGTGGCTGTCGTACTTGGAGCACGAATCGTCCACAGCGATCACCTGGTCCATGGGCCATTGCAGGATCCTCAAGTCCTTGGTCTTGCCATGGATCCCATTGCCGCACGAATCGAGGAAGAACCTGTGCGAGAAGCGGTGCTCATCCGGCTCCAGCGCGTCCAGCACCTTGTCAGTGACGCCCCGCGAGCGAGTGGTGTAGGGAATCAGCACGAACAGCTCCGCCATGCGCTTGAGAAACGCATCCAGATGAGGGCGCTTGATAAGCGTCTTGGACTTGCCGGTATCCAGGCGTATCTTGGACGACTCGGGCAGCTTGGAACTCGGCCGAGTCTCACAGATCATCAAGTCCCACACCTCGAAAACCAAGGCCTTCATCGCTTCTCCTTCTCCCTCTCCTAAAACCCTAGAGCTGTTTTCTTGGATTATTTCTCTCTTTCTAAAAGGGTCGGTTTTTTAAGCAGAGTTCGAGTTTTGGTTGCCAAGGAAGAAATGCATCAACTATAAAGCTGGCAGCAACTCCTGGGGCGAATTCCAGCCGATCTAGCAGCCACCGTTTACTGACCTAACAGCTTCTCGCCAACTTTGAAAGAGCCCGCTTGGTATAGGTAACTATATTCTTCTTGCGATCTGGTATGTCAAAGTGGATGTGGCCTCAATTCTAGGATGAACATGAAAATGTTCCTTTTCTTCCTTTCTCCCTTGATCATATTTCCACCGCCGCGCCTTTCCATTTCAATATAAAAGTGAAACTTCAAAATGTAAATTTTCATATTCCAAAGTATTTTATGTTCCAATATAAAAAACTTCAAGCTATTACAACTCATTCAAATCCCCTTCACATGCAAGTAATATTGGAAGTTTCACACTTGGACTGCTGTTCTTTTGTTCAACTCTCGTTGGTGAAAATATGAGGCTGTGTCCATAACCTGCTACATCTTTTTCCAATTTGTACAACTCTTCGCCCGCGCCAAAGTTGCCCAAGAGTTGATAATTTTCTTGGGAACCATCCATCGTAATACAAAAATCATCATTGCAAGCTGCGTTCTCCAGTTGAGTATTGTACAAAAAGTCCAAGACAGCTCTCATTTCCTTGTCAAATTCGTAGAATGGTCCCTTCTTCAGCTTTAGCTTGCCAAACTTTGATACTCCCTCTCCTAATTCTACCATAGCACCTCTATAGTTCTACACCGAGCACAGCTGTGTTAGTTCTTTTCTTTGAGCTTGTGATAAAAAGCTTTACCTGGTTGAGAAGATGGTAGAGTCCAACCGAAGATTGCAGCAAAGCATGAAGAAGAGTTCGCTGAGGTTCCTCTGCGTCATTCCAGAGCGCCTCAAATATGTCGTGGCACTTGTAATAATCCCTCTTGTTGAACATGTCCACGGCATCGCTGAAACTCTCCTCAAAAGCTTCACTTTCCTCCCATCTCCATCCCCTTGCAATCATCCTCTGGGTATGTTCTTGCCTTAAGGCCAATCGACAGCAAGCAACAGGAAAACGGCCGGAGAATTGCCTGCTGCATACAGGATTGCACCACCAGAACAAGGACCTCGATGACATGCCTGTTAAAACACTTTCCCCGAATCCTCAAACAAGAACCTCAGACTTGAGATATGGATATTCCTGAGACAGAACAAGGTCAGTTAACAGCTAAAAAAGACACTTAATTACCTCACCACATTTTGCAACGGCAATCACATACTGCAGACAAAGTGACCTTCAAAACCGTAAAGCCGGGATGGCTTACCATTGATTCATCTATCTCCTACTGTGCCAGTGTCCAGGTGACCTTGACCTCGAGTGCTTGTGTCTAAGTAAGGTTCCAACATAAAACTAAGAAGGAAAAGGCAAAAAACGTACCTCCGAGCTTCACGAGGAGAAGAAGTGGACCGTGAGAAGGAACGCGATGAATCTCTAAAACACGCACGCAAGATGTCAGTGTTTGCACGATGTCTAAAACCAACCTTTGAGAGTGTCTGGGCGACCGAGACCTGCTTCTCCGTCGCTTGTCACTCCTGACATGAACATTTGTCAGCTCCAAACACGGAACTTTAAATATCACACACACACACCTTCTCCGACTTGGGCTCCTACTTCTGGAGCGCCTGGGAGAGAAACTCCTGCTTCTGCTTCGACTTCGTGGAGTATGGCGCTCGTATCTCTTTCCCTTCAGATTATGTTCAGTTCGCCTGTCCTTTCTTGATTTCTTCTCCTTCAGCTTTGGGTCACCTTCATTCTCTTTGTTGCGTTCTGAATCCCTTGCCAGCAGCTGCTCACGACCAGTAGACTTTTCCTGTGTTTTGAGATGGTCCGCAACCACAGGGTTCTCACTATTTGGCACCTTAGCATGTTCTGTGTCTCTGCTGGTGGACTTCTTGTCGTTCTTTTCTGTCTGGTCGTCATCTGAATCGTAGCTTGCAAGGCCAAGGAAATTCCCCGCGCAGTTCGTATCTATCTCTGCTTCCTCACCATCGCCAGCAGCAACTACAACTCTGGCAGGAGCTGCACTGGGTGCCGGGATGTTGTCCGTCTCCCTCTTTTCCGAGGCTTCACAAAATCCATTTTTAAATCAGCACAAAACTAAAGTAACATAGAACTCGTACCGTGGGACTTCACCTCTTCCTCGTCAAATATTTCTTGTGCTATTTCATTGAAAAGCCCGTCCGTCACCTGTTTGAAATGGATGATGCAAAGTAAGGAAATGATAAATTAATTATACCTTCAAAAGAACGTCAGTTAGAACTCTCTTTATCTCTTGATTGATCACAGAAGTGGCAGCACTTTCAGCATCGTCCTGCAAGTCACGAGCAAGTCCACGTAAAACAGTGAGATGCCTTTTTTGCAGTACCTCATCATCTCCTTCTGTTTCACTTCCACCTGGCGAAACTGGCGTGCTGTCTATGCCAGGCCTCAGAACCTCCGAAGTATTTTTTCTCGTCACGTCCGTGACAGGGCCAAGTGATGGCGTCCTCACCTTTTTCTTCAGTTCCTCCCTCAGCCAAGAAGGAACGGGTGCCTGTATATTAAGAGATGAACAAGAGCGGTATTCCTTTTCCCTTGTTCACGCACCTTCTTTTGCTGCGCGGGATCAACGACTGGAACAGCTGGACTAGCTCCAAAAGCAAATGCTGGTCGATATGCCACGCCGTGGAGCCTCGGAAACGTTGGCTGTTGCTGAATGGGATGAAAAGTCTGGTCAATGAGAAACAAGCCTGAGAAGAAAAAAAAAAAGAGCGGGAACAGCGAAAAAAGACATACTTGAGAAGGTGGAAGCGGCATGGTCGGAGTAACGCTCCACACAACACCTGATGGACTTCCAGAGAAGCCATGTTGCGAGGGATCGACGCTAGAAAGACGGTGTAACACTTGCGCTGGACGTGGTTGCAGTTCTGGAGGCCGAGGCAAGAAGTGAGGGTGCGGAGAAAATGCTGCTACCGAAAAACACCGAGAGGAAAACGTTGAGTGTGAGTGATCGATCATGGCAGCCAAAGTTACCTCCGTTTGGCTGCTGCAAGCTTTCCGGAGGAGGATCCAGAGCTACAGCTTTCATACGTCCCTCAGCAGATTTTGCGCTCATCCAAGCCTTGGCTTTGGCGGCCCAATCCACAGCTGGAAGACAATGTGAGCCAAATCCCTCCCACAACCAAACGTCACCGCACACTACCTTGAGTCAATCCAGAGGAAGCCTACGAAAAAGGCGACACTCGTAAGACCAGAGAAGAGGATTTCTAATCTCTCATGCCACACAGAAGAAGCGAGAAACAATCTCTCGGATAAAATGGTGCCATAGCGTGGGATGGATAATGGAATGGAATCATCAAGCAAGCAGCAAACAATAGGGGTTACCTGATCTTGCTGTGCATAAAACTGACCATGTTGTTGCTGCTGGAGAGGACGATCCAATTGCGGCTGCCATGGCGGAGGCGGCGGCTGCTGTGGAGGCGGCAGCGGCGGCGGTGGCGGCGCATCGATCCATTGCTGCTCCATAGCCTCGTACTCTCCAGTTACAACCCTAAAATTAAAATAGTTTCTATTCCAAAGGCTCGTTACTTAAGTATCATTGCAAGCCAAAGCCTGTGGAGTTCGAAATTGCCAGCTTAAGCCGGTCAGCCAGCTTTTCTTGGGAGCTATACTCCGGGAGAAGTAAAATGTTAAAACACGTATGAGCCGTCGGGAGCCTGGTAAAAAGTAGAGTAAGTTAAGAAAGCGTAAGTAGGAAAGATGGAAACTTACCTCTCAGTATCATCTCCATTGCGTTGGATTATAAGTTTTAAGCTTCCCAGGCCTCCCACGGGTGCGCGATCGTTTCCGGTGGTAAAGAAGAGGAGCTGCTTCTTCTCCTCGACGCTCATCTCTTTCACCTAGGGTTTATAACTTAGAGATCTAGAGGAAAGAACGAAAGGCTTACCAGGTTCCAAAACCACTGAATGACATTGCTGTCCTTCGTGTAGCCTCCTTTGTACGTCGTTCCTCGTTCCAGTGCCTGGAGAAAACCATGGTTCAAGGCTTTAGTTTTAGTGTGAGTGAGTAATCGGTCTCACGGACATCGAAGTCGTAGTGACGTAAACCACAGATGAGCAGCTCTAGTTCTTCATACTGGAAAAGGCGTAAGGCCGGTCCACCGCAAACCTGGACGAGAAAGAGAGAAACGATCCAGCTCAGACACAAAGAAACATTCAATGCCAACCTGAAGGAAGCCCCGCTTAAAGGCAGAAAACTGGGTCGCGATTGATGTTTCAAGCAGGTAATTGACGTATAGATCAACATATCTGTAATGAGCAAGCGTATGAATTTGGTGATGCAAATTTGAAAGCTTACCTTTGTTTGTTCTCGCCTGTAACTTGCACGGACGAGCCGTTTGGTATGAGTTCATGTGTTTTGATCTCTCCAAAACAGTCATATGAAACCTTCCACCACAGTCACAAAGGCCGGGTTAAAAGCCTGCTTCAAAATACATAAACAGCTACCTCGAAATACAAGTCCATTGACTCGATCTCTTCCATGGACAAAAGGCTGTTAAGACTCCTGTAAACTTGAGGCTGCAAATCCCGTAGGTCCTGGAGCCGAGGATCGATCCCCAGAAGCTTTTTGTATACTACCTGTAAAATTTGGAGAACTTAAAGTCTCGAGTCTTAAACATCACACACTTACAAGTGGAAAGTGAACGTCCAGAATGACACCGTTGTAAATCGCCAGTCCCAAAATAATTCCAACCTACAGAACGATCTATAAAGCTACGGCAAAATGCAAGCTTTTGTACCAGCTGAAATTCAAGATCTGTCTCCATAGAATTGGAGTTGAACCAAAAGTATCGTGACTCCTCGCTGTATGTAAACATCCCTGTCCATAAAAGTTACGGCCTTCATTCCAAGGATAACAACCTCACCATAGCCAACATTGAAGAGATCGCGAACCAGAAGCTGGAAAAACTCCTTTGTGACACCTCCTTGGTCCACGCCTGATTCTCCCTCAAATATAACCTGTACTCTTTGTCAGTAAGAAACGATGGTTACGAGAAATGTCTTCTGACCATGAGTGGCTTTTTCAGCTCGTAATGATGTAAAGACAGCTGATGCAAACTGTCTTGTACAAGAGAGGTTCTTCTCACCTGTAGAATTTTCAGTAAGAAAAAGTACTGACAACGTGGAAGCTATCCATCTTACCTGAAGAACCAAGAAGGGACTAGCCGATGCATTCCCAAGCATATGCTCAATCATGGATGCCTGCACAATATGTTGCTTTTGAATATTCGCTTCAACCTGCGAAAGAACGTGAACACAATCCAGAAAAGTAGTTTTGCGCTTACTTGTAATATTCGGCTCTTGGCTTCCGCAGAAAGAATAAAAGGCACCTGTAAGTAAGAAAGGAAGATGTGCTGTCAATTAAGATTTACGTACACTACCTGACAGTAGCAGATCAATGGTTGCATTTTATATTGAACATGTAACCATTTCAAATATTCTGCCTACATTTAGTAGAATGGTTAAAGCTCGCATATAGAGCACAATACTGCCACCCAAAGGATTTTTCTTGTGCGGCATTCAATGCCCAAAGAGTTACCTGAAGGTCAGCGTCCTGGCTAACAGCAGAGTTATAAAATTCACTTAAATGTACAAGTTTCTCCTTTTCGTTCACAGTATGAAGTATCGACAAAACCTGGAATTTCCATATCAGAAACACTAAACAAATAATAATAATTACTGGAAACCTTCAAAGCTGCAGAGATATCAACAGGAACGGGACCTCTTCCGTTTAACAAATCGTTTCTGGTTTTAACAAAAAAAAAAGCATTCAAAAGAAGAAGCAAAAACTATTTGAAAGCACCTATTTACAATGAAGTTTTGAACTCCTCGGACAAATCGACCACCAAAAACTTCTTTCGGATATCCTTTTAAGTATTCCTCCATTATCTGAAGCAAAGGACATTAAAAAAAACTTCCGACATAGAAAAAGAAAGACGTACCCGTTCTCCGGACGAGGATACCTGAGTAAACAAAGTAAAAAGCTTTACAGATATAATATCGCCAAGTCTGTAATGCGGGACACATTTAGCAGGAAAATTATGAACTTAAGTTACAGGACCCTTTCTCTCCTACGAGGGGACATTGTAGAATGATCAGCAAAGCCTGTTAGTTGGCAGAGTTAGTTCTATTAAATTGAGATGAAAGTAGCGTACCCGCAGCCACCTGGATTCCGCCGCATTATCGATGTGCTTTTCGATGGAATCAAGTAATCGAATAATAGAGGCCCCGAGTCTTTGAACAACCTGCAATCCGTAAAAGAAAACATTAGCACATACTTGACAGAAAGATGCATTTACATCCGGGTCGTAGAGTTCCAATATTTTGTGATAAACATTTTGTATGTAGCTAATGTTAAGTTCAGTTTCCGGTGCTTTTAAATAAAGAACAAGAATTTAATGAGTAAGAATGAACTACAAAGCATAAGACATTACCATCAGGAGAAAACGAATCATCTTCTCTCGTTCCACACCAGCATGCCGAGTGGGACTTGAAAGACATGATTAAGAACTTGGGCGAGGAAAATACACTTTCCAAACTATGCAGCAATGCGGCTTTGTTTCTTGTTTCCTGTTTCAAACGCAAAAAAATTGAAGGCCCAAGTAGAAGAAAAGCTCACTTGAAACAAAATATGGAGGCAAGGAAGTTTTAACGCCCGCAATCCTGCTCCGTGTTTATCAAGTTTATGCATCTTCTTTTCATCTCCTTGTAGGCTGTGAAACAAAACGTAACGTTTGTAGTTGAAAGCACTTGAAGCTTACTCAATCAGTGTCGACAATTGCTTTTCATCGCAGTCAAACGCTACAAGCGTATGTTCTCCCCCTGCCACCACATAAACCACTTGCTTGGAACTTATTTGCGACAAGTTTAGCAACAATGGTGTGAGCTGCACGATCGAACTGAAAAGGAAATATGGTTCAAATGGCCACAGGCATTGCTGAGTTCTTTTAGTTACCTCCCTCCAGGTAAAACTTGTCCTTGCTCATTGTCACCCCACGCATAAACGCCACCTCCTGATGTTAAGGCTACAGCATGACGAGCTCCCGCACTTGCCTGGACAATATTGTCATTTTCAAGCGAGCAAACCAGCTTTGGAACAAGGATGTTATCTTGAGTGCCATGGCCTGTCTGACCCCAGTGACCATGCCCCCACTGCAGCAAGCAAACTCGTAAGCTCATCCTAGTTCATGTATGCAAAAAACTAAAACTCACTGAAAAAAGCTGCCCATCTGAATCAATGGCCATGGTATAGTCCGCACCACAGACAACCTGAGTAAGCAGACGATCACTGAGAGCCGTGACAGGCACCGGCTGCAAATGGTTTTCAACGCTTCCACAGCCAAGCTGCCCATACTTTCCTCGTCCCCAACTAAAGAGCTGCAAACTTATCAATTACAAACTTTTTGCCTTCGATGAAGTTCGAGAGTAGAACATACCTGACCCTCAACTGTCAAAGCGCAGCTGTGATTGTCACCGCAGGCAATCTCCAATGCACAGATCCACGGGATTCTAGTTTTCTGTATAGATAACACAGACAAATACCTGGACGATTCCCAAGCCCCAAAGGCTGTCAACAATCACCGGCGAGCTGCAGCTTTCCGTGGTTCCGTGACCGAGAGCACCAAAAGTGCCTTGTCCGAATGAGTAAACGTCCCCGCTGCCTGGAACCATGCACAGAGGTATGAATCTCATCAACCTTGAGCGATTTACCTGTGAGAGCGAGTGTATGGCTAGAACCACAAGCAACACGGACGAACAGGAGTTCGCGAGAACCGCGAAGGAAGCGAGGCAGCGGGCTGGTAAAAACTCCAGCCGCATCCTTGAGACCGAGCTGGCCAAACTCGCCACATCCCCAGGAAACTAGCGAGCCAGTGTCTGAAACTCAAAGTTTAAGCTAGAAGGAACACGAGGGGAAAGAAAAAGATACCAGTCACAGCGACGGTGTGACCCTGGCCCGTCGCAACGTGAGAAACAAGTGAAGTATCTAGCATTGAAACTCTCACGGGAGAGAATTCACACCCGGAAGATTTCGTTCCAAGCTGTCCGGAATCGTTCGAGCCAGTTGTGTAGAGTTCCCCTTCGTCTAGAAACAAAGTTTTTAGTGGAAACAATCGCGAGAAAGGAAGGAAGGATCGCTCGAATCACTCACTCTCACCTGTTAGAAATGCCGTATGATAATCACTGGCGGCAATGTGTACCACGTCCTTGTGAGCGAGGCTGCTGATCCAAACGAAAGTGCTGCACTGGCGAGGGAGCTCGCCCACACCAAGCTGACCAAAATCGCCCCTCCCCCATGCGTACACTACATGGATTCCATCACTGTCACTAAGATCATCGAAAATTTTTACGCGCGCCATACCTTGCTCCATAGCCCTAGTCCTAAAATTGGAGAAACAAAATATTAGGGTTTATAAGGACATGGACTGGGGGGAGTGTGTGTCCAAGGCAGTGCTGGAGCGCTACAAGTGCTTGCCAAAGAAAGGGAAGCCACAGGGCGGTGAATACACAGTTCTCGGAGCATTCTTAGTCTCCGATTGCGATTCGTCAATAGGTATAGATTAGATGGTTTACACGATTGTTCCAACGATTCGATTCAGCTTCTTTGCGAGTGATTGCATTGGGAACTGGGACCAAATGCCTGGGAGGCTCTCAACGCAGCCTTGCTGGCGACACAATCAACGATTGCCATGCCGAAGTGATCGCTAGGAGAACACTGCTCAAGTAAGTTATCCCGTTGTTCTTCATATATATTATCACGCGCAATGCAGGCTTTTATACACGGACATCGGGTCTTTTGTAGATGAGGGGCAAGATTCTCGTTCCAAGTTTTTCAAGAGGGATGATAATGGCAGACTGCGTATGCGTCCAGAGATTCGACTCCATCTCTACATCAGCCAGTCACCTTGTAAGTCTTACTATCTCTTTGATCATCCACTATCTCTTTGATCATCTGGTTCTTCCACTCTATCTCTTTGATCATCCGGTTCTTCCATTCTATTTCTTTGATCATCTGGTTCTTCCATACTATAGATCTTTGATCATCCGGTTCTTTCTACTTGATAGGTGGAGACGCATGCATCTTAGGAGTTGATCCTGGCGCCGGAGAAGACGATCACAGTGAATTTTGCTGCACGACGGGGGCAAAGCTGGTGTCTACACAAGTTCACTCGGAACAAAGCCTGCAGACAACGGGCATGCTTAGGCGAAAGCCTGGCCGGGGAGATGCCACTTTTTCTATGAGTTGTAGCGACAAGATCGCAAGATGGAATGTTTTGGGAGTTCAAGGTGAGTCTGGATTTCCTCCATCCCTATGGCTCCTGGATCAAACACTGTTTGTAGGAGCTCTCTTGTCCTTGTTCCTCAACGAACCAGTATACATCTCGACGATTACTGTTGCTAGGAGCACGAAAGCATCGCCACTGGTTTCCGACCTGGCGTGCATAGAGGCCCTGCAAAGAGCTACTTTCGGCCGGCTGTGCTCAGTGGCACGGAATCTAGAAGCTCCTTACAGACTCAACCAGGTAAGACTTTGTGAAATGCTTTTGTAATCCTCGTATGCAGCCAGTGATTTGGCTGGCACCAACACCTCCGGAGGATTACATGCTCTATCCAAGTGGATTGGCCTGCGGGTTTGGCTTTCACTCCGAGGCAGCATATGTGATGCTATCGTTCCCTGTTTAGATATTCAATCAGCTGGGACTCGTCCGGCTCCCACGAGGTTGTCATTGGAACAACGGGAAGGAAGCAAGGTGCTGCGGGCAAAGGAGCGTTGTTACCAGCTACAGAATCAAAGCTCAACAGGTTAGACAAAGAAGAAGATCACTCCATACTGAAAAACTTTCGTTTTCTTTCCTCAGGAAGTCATTGGGGAGATCATTTAGACACCTGTTGACGCATTTCTTCCCTGGCTTGGCTTGCAGCAACTACTTGGAGTGCAAAGTAAAGCATCCTAGTCTTCTGACTCACAGCTTCTTAACTTTCTCTTTTTCTTTTTTCTTTTCTTGCAGAAGTTAGCACTAACATATTTGGAAGCCAAAGAGATTCTCCTTCATCTAAATTCACCTTTTGCTGGGTGGCTGTCGAACACCTTAGAAAAGTAATACCAAAACGACCACCTTTGTTTTAGCTTTGTGACAGTTTTAGTTAGATGAATTTAGACAAAATGCCTTCATCAGCCTTGTAGATATCTTTCCATCAAGCTTGAAAACCTCTACGTCTAAGACTATTAGATCGCTGCTGAAAGGCACGCTGAGCTTATAAATCACCACGGCCTTGGCTTCCAAGCAACCCTCGACGGTTGGATCACTGTCACAACTTTGGAATTCTTCGAAATTGCCCAGATGTTCTTCTAGCAACTCACAACACGGAACAAAATCTTGTCATCGCTGGAAGAAGCGTTCGTCAGCTGGAGCGTTCTTGGCACGTTCGTATCTTCGCAACAACGATTCGGCCTTGTCGGCTTTGTAGATCCGGTTGGAGTGCACAAAGCAGCGGCGCCCTTGCAATCCAGGGATGTCTGCCACTTCCCAGGAATGATCTTGTGTGGAGTTGCTCCTACACCATCACTCAAGCTCACAACCATCTTGTTGCGATCGACAACGAGGGCCATGGGAACAGCTATGGCCTCCAGTGATGGTGACGATGGGAGAGGATCCCAGATCCTCCATTGGATTGTATACCTCGACGTTTGGTTCCTCACCCTTATGGTTGCCACCCCTGACGTAGAGCTGACCCTCCAGGACACAGCATTGGTGCCATGGTGCTCCATCGAATACTGTCACTGATTTCCCAAATGCCCCAAAAAGGTACTGCCTTGCCATGTGTCCGGTGGAGGAAGAATCATCCACGCTTTCTTGGTGCTACTGCGATTTAATGCAACGATTGAAAACTCTGAAGTTCAATTATGATTCTGGGGCTTGAACTTGCTGTGGCAGTGTTTCTCACTCACAGCACAGATTTGTTGTCGTTTTGAAAGTAAGAACGTAAATGCTTCCAAAGAATATTCTCCCACTTGGAGAAAGTCTCAGCTTATTTTGCCCTTTTTCATTTTTCTTTGGACAAAGATTAGATTTATACATATTTCTTCTTTCTCCTTTTCTTTTTCTACACAGTAACTCTGAACCACTCACATATAGCATATGTGAGTGGTAGTATATTATTATAAAATATCCAGAATTGTTCATTTTTCATTTGAAAATCCATGGTGGACCTAGCCACATAGATAAGTATTCAGGATTAACATGGACCCAAGCCCATATTAAATTAGATTACAAGGTTAATATGGACCCATGCTTAGATTTCTTCTTTTTTCAAAAAGACATTATCAATAAGTGGTTCCAATTTCCATTAAAATTTTTGGTTTGATAACAAAGTAACATTTTTGAAAATGATTTATAAACAACCAAAGAAAATGACTTAATAAATAATCCATTAGAAATAAAATATATATAAAACAATGCCCATGAACAAAAGTGTACTCTTCTTTTCAAGTGATGAAAGGTTTTCGGATATATAAAATTTATATTTAATATCGACTCTGCATTATAAATTAAGATTGACATTTGATGGTCCAAGCCACAATTTTCCCCACTCTCTAAAAACACCCCTTGGGATTGTCTTAATATGGAAAGTTATACAACTCCATATATTTTAAGATCTTTAACCAATTGAAAAAAAATTATGTAATTTAACTCTAATAAACCATTTTTCAAAATTTTCTCTTTAGTCTTAATAGTTCTAATGGAGATTGAAACTATTGGGTATTCAAGATTAATATAGACTTATGCCCATATTAAATCATGAGATTAACATGAACCCATATCAGATTTTTTCTTCTTCTTTAAAAGACATTATTGATGGGTGCATCCAATCTTCATTGGAACTATTGATTTAATAGAAAATCGATATTCTTAAAAATGATTATCATAGTGCTATTGATGGGTGGCTCCAATCACCATTGGAACTATTGATTTGATGATAATAAATTAATATTCTTGAAAACAATTGTGACAATAAACAATAAAATATAAAATTTTGAGTTTAAACTTCCTGGGAAATCATTTAGCTTAGACATTTTCCATGAACAGCCTAGGTATCTAAGTTAAAAGACATTTAGCTTTATATATTTTAACATCCTTGAAAAAAAGAATTCAAATATTTTAATCATAATAGATTATTTCTCAAGCCTTTCTCTTTAGTTGTTTATACAAGATTAATAATTGTTGTAAGAAATATTGAATCTAAGTGAAAATGTATAAAATCTTTAATATTATCATGAAGGCTTCTTTAAGAGTTGTATCATCCCACAAAATATTGATGGCAACCATTTGGAACATAAATAAATGTAAATTTAAAGTTTTAACATAATTATTGCAAATTATTAATAATAGTATATTCCAAATCAATATTGTTAAAAATGCTACTGAAGTGCTAGATAAAAAGATATAAAGGATCACTCTTTTTAAAAAGAGTAAAGAGAGATATATGTAACACCAAAATCCCTAAGTCCCAAAATGGAGCTAAATGTGTGTCATATGACAGTGGTTGAAGCAGAAGTTTAATTAGTGTAATATGTTTAAACCAAAAGCTCAAAAAAAGAATTATTAACTCATGGAAGTATTAAAACTGAGTTTGATACCAAATCCAAGACTAAATCCCTAAATCCAAGTCCTAAACTAAGTCCAAATCTAAGGGTAAAAGACCAAAACAATCATCTTCCAAAATTTAATAAGTTCCTATAGGATAATAAATGGTTAGGAAAGGCTAATGTGATCAAAGAAGGTTATACCCATATATTAGGTAATGATATAAACACTGTGGAGTTCAAATATATTAATGGACAAATGGGGTGATATAGTGAAGTATTTAAAAGTTAGTTCTAGCTCTTCCGGAAGATCAAATAATTAATGCTCCCAATTCAAAAGATATCTTGTATAACCTTGTGTAAGTGATTAATTTTTCCATTCTACTTTAGTCATTTAACCGCACCTCTGACCACTTGGAAGAATCTCATTCACAACCTCCCAAGTCCTAAATGGGACTTATGGAGGTTGTGAATGAGATTCTTCCAAGTGGTCAGAATCTCATTCACAACCTCCATAAGTCCCATTTAGGACTTGGGGCTTGTTAGCCCCGAGAATGGCATCTATACCACTCAACTTTTGCACTTGGTCCAAATGCTCCACGTGTCTGATCCCATGACCAACACCCCAAGGTACCATTGACATATGAGCCTGTTACGTTAAGCCACGCTCATTCACCTTAGTCACATCGGTGGTCTAACATCATTTGCATTGCAATCCTGTCTCTCCAAGACTGGGCCATTTGTCCATGAGTAGTCATCCCAGATCCACTCCTTAGCATCTTTAGGATGCCCACAAACATGGGGAATAACCTTCCCCAATATCTCCGTTCCGGTCCCCACCAAGTCCCTTTCTGTCCTTGGGATTCAGACTCGAGCTCAAACTCCATCTCGGACTCCATCTTAGACTCCATTTCAGATTCCATCTTGGGTCCATCTCGAATTCCATCTCGGACTCCATCTCGGACTCCATCTCAGACTCTATCTTGGGTCCATCTCGAACTCTATCTCAAACTCCATCTCGGACTCCATCTCGGACTCCATCTCAGGTCCCTCTCAGGTCCATCTCAGACTCCATCTCGGGTCCTCCTTCTCGAGTCGCTTTTCTAGAGACTCACTTATTGTTGCTCCGTGCTTATTCTTTGAGCACTTCATTGGAAGTTCCACTCCTGCTCTCGACCTTTTAAGTCAAAGTTTTTAATCCAAATGTGTTACGCTTATTTGGCTTTCACTTCGGCCACTACCGCGTGGCACCCTTCCAGCTCCACTTTGAGGACTAGGGATTTTGTGTCTCACACCTTGCTCTAGCCATAGGGTTAAGGCACCCTAGTGGTGAAAGGTGGGGAAAGTACTTATAATGTTTATATTGGGTTGTAATGTTTTAAAATGTCATTTTAAAATCCTTAATTATAAAAAGAAAGAGGAACAATCCTTTTGTTTAATAATCAAAGGTATAGTCACATGGTAAAGAAGTTTCAAAAGTTAATGAAATTTAGTAGATAGGTTTTTAGGCCCTAACCTAATGATGGTTTTAGCAAGAATTAATGTATACAAAAGAGAGACTTGAATAAAAACAAAGATAGTAAAGGATGGTATTTCTTTATGTTTTGGGGCATCTTAAAGATGCTAAGATGTAGTCATAAAATTACCACTCATGGATAGATTATTTAATTTTGGAAAAACAAAACCATGGTATATATGGTTTTAGACTATCAATAAAGATAAATATAGTTTTAGTGCAGGAGTTTTTATATATATTTTTTAATATCCTAGAATTACTATGTTTGTATCATGTGCTTTCATTTTTGCAAGGTTTTATTTGCTAAAGCAATTCACTCAAACTTTTGCATCTAATGCCAATGATAATAATCATAAATAAATGGCTGGTACTTCATTAGCACCTTTAAGTGTCTAAAGTAAAACTAGATATGTAGAGCACTTAGATAAAATGTAAAGTTAGCATGACTTTGATATCACCTCTTGTGCCCCAAGTTAGAATGAGGATATATGGAAGTTGTGAGTGAAATTCTTCTAAGTGATATAAGGCATGGTTAAGTGATTAAAGTGGAATGGAAAATTTAATTACTTACAATATCCTAATAAAAAATTAATCCAATCAATTCTATATAAGAAGTTGGAATGAAATATCAATAAATTTAACTTAAATTACATGCCATCAAATTTGGTTAACATACCAATCTTTTACTTAGAACCAAGAAATTGTTATGAGTGTTTCATATGCAAAAGTATATTGAAAATTTTATCTATACTTGCTATGTGTATTAATGAATCAAGATGCCTTCACATTTTTTATCTAGTCTTCTTTAAAATTCCTCTTACTCCAGAGCTTTAGAAATTTATTTTTATTGATTTCCTCATCAATCTTCCACCATTTAAGTCTTTAACATTGTTCTTGAATATTACAATTGATTGATTTTTCAAAATAGCACATTTCTTGCCCTATCAGAAGATAATATATGGAAAGTAGTCAATTAAACTTATCTAAAAGGAGATTTTTCATCTTTATGGATTGCTATATAATATT